GGACGCGGCAAGTAAATGCAACACATATCTCAGTCGACGCAGTATAGATTTTAAAGGGAACAGATATTGGGCAATTCCGGGGTTGAGGTTGATGACAAAATTATTTAAATCATACAAGAGATTGGGTTCAAGAGACAGCACACATTTATTAGCTAGAATTATAATGGGTGTGTTCGTACATAAAATGAGAAGTGTATCAGGGAGGGGTCCTGTCTTTGCTTCTCTCTACCGTCTATGCGGAACATATTATTAAAGAATCTTTGTTCCAAAAGGTGCCAAAATCAATGGAATTTTGATCAATAGCTTAAGGTTCGCAAACCATACTGTGGTACTGGCTAAATCGGAATAACATCTACAGACACTAATAAATGTTCTGTCGGAATCGAGTTCCAGAATGGGACTAGAGATAAACTCCTCAAAAATCAAAACTCTAGTTTTATTTTTGAGGAATATATCTAGCCGTGGAACCTACATGCAAAACAGCGCGAAAATAGTTATCGACGATATTAACATCCAAAACATTGACAGCTACATATATGAAGTCGCTGGAGTAACAGTGGCTTGAATTTAAGATTTGCTGATGACACTACACTTATAGCAGCAAATGAGCAAGAATTGTTTAATCTCCTGCAAAGAGTTGAGTACAAAAGCAATAAATTTGGCCTGAAAATCAATAAAGCTAAGACTAAAATAATGGTGGTCGATAGATTTCACAACTATTCAATTCACTAACATGTTACAGGAAGACCAGATAGTGAACAGTTTTGTCTATCTCGAATCTAGTATAACTAACGAAGGTAACTGTGAAGCAGAAGTTTGGAGACGTATTGGTATGGCAAAAAATACGATCAGTCGCCTAACTAAAGTTTGTAAAGACAGACCTATCTCTCAAAAATATCAAGATGAGACTGGTAGATGCCCTTGTATTCTTAATATCTCTATACGGGGCAGAGACTTGAACTCTTTGCAGATGCGAGTGCCAAAATATTGATGCCTTTGAGATGTAGTGCTGGAGAAGAATGCTGCGCATACCTTGGGCAGCTCATAGGGCAAAATTTTCCATTCTAAACCAACTCGAGAATAAAAAAAGCTGTCCATAATATGTCTGCAATGTATTCTGCAATTTTTCGGTCACGTGATTCGCAGAGGTGACGATAGTTTGGAGAGATTGTTTCTGGACACGTTCGAGAGAAAATCAAGAGGACGATCACCAACTAGATGGTCTGACCAAATTAAGAATTTAGCTGGAAAATCATTCCGCGAAGCTCTCAGAGCAGCTGAAGATAAGACCAATGGAGAAAAATTGTTAGGAATATTGGAAAAAATCACGATCCCCAGTAATGGGGAAATGACAAGAGAGACATATGTATATATATATATATATAATAATATATGAAGGAAGAGAAATAAACACTGAGCTGGACCACTTAAAAGATATTAGGAGACGCTTTTAGACATCCAGATCAGACTTCGGGTATTAAACTGCTACGTTTAGTCCTTACTGATGTATGGATGTCAAACGTAGACGATACAGCAGGAAGATTTGAAAAAGCTGCAAACGTTTGAAATTTGGCTCTACAGACGTATGCTAAGAAACAGCTGGACCAGTAGAACTACCAACGCAGAAGGAAGGAAAATTAATATTCAGCCACAACTAGTCCGCACTGTCATTATGAAAAAAATGGGTTACTGCGATCATAGCATGTGTCATATTGAGTACACACAGCCATAACAAATCTAGAAGGAAATCTAAGAGATTAGTTGAACACTAACTGAAATAACCTAATGTACGCAGCTCAGAATAAAAACAAATTTGCCGTAATGTTCGTCAACCTCAACCGAGGATACAATGATATTAAATTTAATGAGATTTCTTACAATAATCTTTCTTATCTTACATAGCATATGCGTCTTTTTATGTAATCTCTATCTAGTAAGTATCTCTTCCAATTGTATGGCTTTGTGAATCTCGCCTTCTGATTTATTCTTCTGTGTAGGGCATCCTATATATGCTCTAGGTTGGGATCCAGAGGTTTTAGTAGCTACTACACTTCCGAATGCCAGTATCATTGAAGTACTAAGGAATAATTCTGGAAATGTTTTATCAAATTTATCTTGCATGTTATAGGAAATTTTCTCCAGCGCGTGCATATAAAGCATTACTACAAACCAATATACAAGCTATTGTACGTAATTTTTAAAGAAAACTCAGTGTCTGATTGAATTTGTGGTTAGTTATAGAAGAATGTTTATTTTTATATATAGAAGAAATTTTTTACATAAGCTGCATCTAGTATTCTCCTAGTAAATAGAGGTATCAAAAACAGAATTATGATACTGAATTCAATATCGTATATAGGTTTTTTACGATAAGAATGAAATTATGACATTCTATTATAGTAACTTTTAAATGTCCAACCATACAGCAAACTCCCCATGCCCCTCTCCCTATAGATTCTAATAAATTTAGTGACTTTTAGTGACATATCGGTTGGCAAAATATTGCAATATTGCCAGTGCATTTCTCAAGGCTTTTTGTTATTGTATTTGTGAACTGGAGACACAGAACAAAAAATAATTGTGATCTGAAGTTGAAGTGGAGTGGAGGTTAGGTCCCAAACTCAAAATAGAAAACAATATTCTGTGGTTAGGTGGTGTTGGTTATTTTTTTTTTCGTTTCAATTTTTCCTTTAAATGAAACTAAAAAAGTTCTTTTCAGAACTAATAAAAATATTTATAAATTTGAAAATTTTATAAATTTTCAAAAATGCCTAAAGCTTTACGAAGTTGTGCCCAGAAAATGGTCATTTCTTTAATTTCATACTTTGAGACAGAACGTGATCATCAAGCTATATTACTTCATTTCGTAAAACTTTATTTTTAGGAAGATATAAAACATTTGTTATAAAAGATGGGTATAAATTATTTATAGTTAAAAATTTACAACTTAACTTAACAATTTAACACAAAAGTATTAAAAGAAAACAACGAAAAGTTAGGTTATGTGTCTTAAACATTTACAATTTGTAAATCAAAAGTGACCAACTTGTTTTTAAAAGAAGAAAATGAAAAGTTAGGTTATATGTGTTTAAGAAGAATATAAGAAATGGAAAAATAGTTTGGCAACGATGCACCTGATCCTTGTGTGACGTCATCACATTCTTATCGTAAAAAAAGTTTAGGGTTAAAGTTTAGGGTGTAATTCAGCAAATTATCACAATTTACAAGAAACGTAATGAAAGGAAAAGATGCACTAAAAAAGCAATAATGAAACATACAGAATTAAATAAAGAGAACAGGAAAAAAGTTCAAGAATGCATAAGACAATATAATATGGAAATCGTAAGAAAAATTATAGAGAACAACAAAAATTTAAAAGAGATGAAATCCAATAACACAGCAGGTAAACCGCTAATAACTCAAATGAAAGATAAAATCAACGAAATCAAAGATGAAATTATGAACATAATCAAAGACTTCTATCAAAGTTTATAGAACAAATCCACGATGAACACCGTAAGATCGATTGATGTTACCAATGCCAGTTCAGAAGAACTATACTAGCAGATATCACAAATAAGAGGAAAGATTTAATAAAATTATTAGAGAGTTACTAAAGAAATGCTACAATTAAGAAACACTCCAACTTTAGAGTCAATGGGAGTTCTTCTGAATAAATATTTAGCATATGAGAGACCAGACCGCTGGCAAAATTCTCAAGTAATTTTATCGCACAAAAAGCGATAAACAGAACATCCAAAATTACCTACCCATAAGCCTACTTCCTCATCCATACCAAGTTCTCACAAAAATTATTACTAACAGGCTATCTAATAAATTCGAAAGCTACCAACCTTCAAATAAACGAAATACGTGCTGAGGCTCCAACTAGTATAAATCAAGAAATGAAAAGATTAACATTAGAAACGAAAAACACTGAGAATGTGAACATTATGTAGCGCAAAATCAGACTCTATTAAAAAGCACAGAACGAAACTCTACAAAAGAAAGAAGAAAACCAAAAACCTTAGATGACCAACAAATACTGGACACAGACAAATACAGAGAAAAACATAAATGAATAAGGAACAAAATAAAAGATGCTGAGGAAAAGTGGATGATGGAAACCTGCATTGAAATGGAGGAATTGCAGAAAAAAACATAATTTACATAAAAAAGTCTGGAACTTTATCTGAAAAATTCATGAACAAACACACCTAACCGATTAATAGACAAAAACAATAAACCTATTAATAACCCAATTGAAATAAAAACAAGTATGGACTAAATATATTAAAGATCTTTTCATGGACACAAGAACAGAATCAACATAAATTGATAGCAAGGAAGCTCCAATAATATTAAAATTTGATGGCCAACATGCTAGAATCAACTCAAAATCTCCTCAAGAGCTCCTTGGCCAGATAAAGTGCACATCGAGCTTATTAAACTTATAGATGAAGACATTTTAAGCGCAATAACTATCATCTAACAACAGATACAAATATGGTGAGATACTTACAGAATGGGTAATATCGACCTTTGTTCCGCTACAAAGAATCCCAAATACTGTAATGACTGTAGATTGATAAGCTTATTTTTGCAATTATTAATAAAAACATTTTTAAAGGTTATACTCGTACATGCAAGAATATTCAGAAAGTGTGAAGCGGATAGGAGTATTAGACAGTTTGGCTTTCGTAACGGCTTCGGAACAGTAGAAGCTCTGTCTAGTTTCACAACTTTTGCTTAAAAATGTCGACACCAACAAAAAGACCTTTTTAGGTTAAAGATAAGGTATGGGCCATCGCGCCGCAGCGCATATTTAGAAGACAGTCCTGCATCACTTTTGCAAGGATGTGAGTTTTTACTAATACTTTCTGTCCTTTATTAAACACAACAGTTTCACAAAAATGTTTATCTTTATAGAATCTGTATAGATACGTCGAAGCGTCTTGGCGTAAATCAATATTTTCTCGTGCTCCTAATAAAATGTCAGTATGTCCACGCAAGTAAGGCGTTATCCTAGGAATAACCGGTCCACTCGCGACAATAACTCGTAAGTCCTTATGAACATCTGTGGACGTACGTAGCTCTCGCGCAAAGTTTAAATATGCCGGGGAATGACCGGTAGCTAAACTTGGTACTGTATTCATGGAAAACGAATACTGGGTAACACTTTATCCCATTTAGTATGGTCCTTTTGAACTAATATGGAAATCTTGATCTTTAGATCTCTATTTTTACGTTCCTCTGGATTTGAGGTAGGGCAATAAACAGGGATGAGTGATTCTGAATACATAGACAGTATGTAAACTGCTGCATTATTTTACTAACAAATTGGGGTCCGTTGTACTTATTATTCTACGAGGTGTGCCGTATTGTTAACATATTTCGCTTATTAGTACCTTTGTGCACTCTTCCGCAGTAGCTTGTTTTAACGGAAATAGTTCTATTCATTTCGTGGAAGTATCTTATTATTTTTTATGAAAAAATAATGTTATACTGTAATTTTTGTAGACTTTATAACGGTTGTAACTCTTATATATGTAATAAAACAAAACGTTATCCTTCAACACTATTTAATAGTATCAGGCATATCATTTAAATATAGTTGTTTATATTTTAACTATTCATAAAAATGCATAATCCAACATTGAAATCCAAGGATAATTAACAAAAAAACTACATCATTCAATTAGTCATAACAGAAAATTGATGTTATTTAGGAAGTACAAATCTTAAAAGGTTACTTTTGAAATTTACAAAACAATAGAAGAATCTATATTTTGTGCACTCATTTTCTATTAGAAAAAATACCATTTAATTAAAGCAATGGTTTTTATGTGTTAATTTGATTCTATCTTGAATGGATTTCTGAAACACGGAGAAATACACAAGTTTACATGACACAACAAGCAAGAAGTCATATATATATATATATATATATATATATATATATATATATATATAATATATATATATATATATATATATATATATATATATATATATATAATATATATATATATATAGAGAGAGAGAGAGAGAGAGAGAGAAAGAGTTATAATACTAGAAAAATTGCTTGTATCCAATTCCAAGACGCAAGAGACATAGGCCCCTACCCTATGCGTAAGTGGTCATTAGGAGAACTAATAAAAAAACGGAACAAATAAGCCATAATGTAGATTGAAAGATTTGTTTTTTAAATTGTACCAATAAATCGGAAGAAGAATAAAAAATCTCCTATATATTGACAATACACAAAAAGGGGACAAAAGCAACTGTGACAATTACTGGAGAATTGCTTTAACAAACACACTAAGCAGAATCAAACACTAAAATAGAGGCAGAAGAACAAGGCAAATTTTGAAGTAAGACCATATCAAAATTGGTTATTTGATGGTACTGACACAAATAACAGATAAAAAATTAACATATAATCAAGAAACCCATATAATATGTCGACTTAAAAAAACTGTACGATAACGTCCCTTTAAGTAAATTCTGAGAAACTCTACCACTCCCGAACGTCAATATACAGTGCTAGTCAAAAGAACCGTTCCCCCCCTTGTGTCCCTTGTATCTTTGAATGGTTATTGTTATAATAATAATTGTAAAATTTGGAGGGAGGTAATAAACAGACATAGGCTTCTCAACTAGTCATAACAGGTGACGTAATAGTGACAGATGACGTTACAGCTCCACTGTGACAGATAATTTTAAATGGGCCCATACAGCAAGTGATACCTCGTTTGAAAGGTATTGAAAGTACCTATTCAGTCATAATATTTTGTTTCGAGTTTAAGCTCATTTTGATGAATAAATTAAATAAATACTAAAATTGTAGCTTCTCATTTAATAATTAAGCATTCAACAACCATTTCTTACAGTAAGTGTTCAAAATGTGCTGCATCTACTTGTCGGGAACATTGCCCTACGTTCTTCAATAATTCGTTCGTTCAAATTGTCAATATTGTCGGGTACGTAAACTTTAGATTTCAAGTATCCCTACAGAAAAAATCTAATGGTGTGAGGTCCGTGACCGAGCTGGCCATTCTATCGTACCTCGTCGTCCAATCCATCTACCACGATATTTCTCATCTAGGTAACGTCTTACTGCACCATAATGGTGTGCAGGAGCACCATCTTGTTGAAACGTTATTTGCAAGTTGCTGAATTCGTCTGGATTATCCTCCAGAATTTTAAGTATTAACGGGTCAATTGCATTTTGTTATATCTCAAGATACACTTCACTGGTTAATTTAGTATTAAGAAAAACAGGCCCAACTAAGTGGTTTCTAAAAATTCTTGCCCAAACATTTATTTTTTTTTTGGAAATTGAGTATGTGTTTCACGAGAGACGTGAGGATTTGTGTCACTCCAATACCTCACATTATGTGTAGTTAACATTTCCATTGAGACAAAAAGTACTTTCTTCGCTAAAAGAAATTGTTTTTATATAATCGGGCTGTTGGTTGATTTTATTGGACATATTTTCAGGGCATTCTTGTCTTCGGTCGGGGTTATCATCTAAAAGTTGGTGCACAATTTTTCATTTGTATGGATGAAATTTGTTTTCAGTATGTAACACTCGGTGTACTGTCTTTTGACTGATTCCATAGATAGATACAACTTGGGCTGTGAAAGAAGTAGGGTCAGTCACTACCATTTCTGAAATTATGTCAATTTTTTGTCATCACTGATTGTTGGTCGACCAGATCGTTTGGTCCAAATTATTTCCACATTCATCCATTTATTAACACAGCTGCTACTTTGTCGGCTAGAGTACGTACCATTCTGCCTTTGTAAAAATTAAAACATCTCGTTAAACAATAATTAAACTAGATATGAACTAAGAACAACTAACTAAAATCAACTTGATTAAACTTGAATTGACTAAACTAAGCAGAAACAGAAACTCAATATTCAGGTATAATCGCTGTTGCCAACTAAAAATAACTAGAGAATTAACAAACATCAAGTTTTTTGAGAAATAGCCGAAGGTGTACGTTAGAATTTATATTAATTAAATGCCAAACTAGAATTTTAGTATTTATTTAATTTATTCGTCAAAATCATCTTAAATCCAAACAAAATTAGTGTGATTGAATAGGTATATTAAAATAACTGTAGTTTCGCACTTAATTAATAAATATTTTAACGTTCGCCTAGGGTTAATTGTCAAAAAAGTTGACGTTGACGTAAAAACAATTAGAGAATTGAAAAACGTGAACTTTTTGACAAGTAACCAGGGTCGGAGGTTTTAATATTTATTTATTAAATGCGAAATTACAATTTAGTATTTTTAATTTACTAATCAAAATGAGCTTAACTTAAATTAAATTAGTATGGTTGAATATGTATTTAAATACCTTTCAAACGAGGTATCATTGCCTTAGGATCCTATTTAAAATTATCTGTCACAGTGGCGTTGTAACGTCATCTGTCACTATTACGTCACTTGTAATAACTAGTTAAGAAGCCTACGCCTGTTTATTACCTCCCTCCAAATTTCACTATTATAAATATAACCATTCAAAAGATACGAGGGGGAACAGACTTTTTACTAGCACTGTAGAATTAATAAAAGCAATAACAGATACGGCAATCAACAAAGAACAGAATTTTTAATTCTCTGAATAAACCAGGGATGCCACCATACAATCTTCAGTTAAAAATCGTTTCACCAATTATTCTGCTACGCAATTGGAACCCACCCAGAATATGCGACGACACGCGTTTGGTCATTAAAAGGATCACCGGAAATGTTATTGAAGCAATATTTTGACTGGACGATTTAAAGGAGAAATGTATTTAAAATTTTTGTTACGTATCCCAATGATACCCTTAGATACATACCACAATATTTAAAAAAAAAAAAGCTTTAATTTCCTGTTCGATTGGCGTTTACGATCACCATTAACAAATCTAAAGGCCGAAAAATGTCCGTTTGCGGCTTGGATTTAGAGAATCCATGTTTCTGATATGGTCAATTATATGTTGCATGCTCATGTGTTGGTAAACCATCAAATTTATTTATATTAGCAAAAAAGAAATTAACGAAAAATATTGTGCACCAATTAGTGGTTAATTGTATGTTAATTAGTAGGTATAATTTAGAATAATATAATTATTTGGAGTAAACATCAAACTTTTCATACCTTCCTTATAAAACTTAATTGATATACAAATTGACAATAACAAATTATACATAAACTTAAAAATCAAAATTTTTTTGGTGGATTATGTTTAATATGCTAATATCACAAAATTTTATTTGTTGATGCTAATCTCTGATAGCTTTTAGGCATGGATTTTATGATATTTACTCTCTGTTAAATAAATTGAACAGAATATTAGTCGTATAAAGAACCCTATGAGATTAAACAGTACTATACATCATGCATCCCACATCTAACAATCAATCAAAATACAATTGGCAATTATTTAAATACTTTGATGTTTGTTGAAGGTAAACTAAATTCACGAACAAATACTTACAATGTTGGGATAGTATTATGAGGTTTTTTTCCTGGTTTTTCCCTCATAATTTACTATGGAATCACTAACAGGAGAATTTTACTGTCATCATGTCATGTGTTTGTCTTTTTAAAGACGAATTACATGCTATGATTTTTTTCTGACGGATATTCTCAAGTTAAAGTTGATTTCATGTAATCGAATGAACTATCTTATAAGTAAAGTCGTCCCAGGATCGCAACTCAACAATATTGGCAATATCATTTTAAAGTCGTCTACTTTAGAATGCATAATGTATGTTTGAATTGTCAATATTTAAATACTGTACCTAATTGGGAACAATTCACCTTTACTCCAGTATCTTGTGATCTAGTGCAAAAATTGTTATATACAATTAAATCTAATGCTCTAGGGTCAGACGGTTTAAACTTAAAAATGTTACTTCAATGTTGCCTATTAATCATTCCTTATATAAGGCATATAATGAACTGTTGCCTCTCGAGTAATTATTTTCCAGATGAATGGAAAAAATCACTAATTAGACCCATACCTAAATGTAACAATCCAACCGAATATAAAGATCTAAGACCTATTAGTATTCTGCCTACTCTATCAAAAGTGTTAGAACGCATTATGCAAATGCAGCTGGGATTATATTTCTAACAGTAATATCTTAACTGATTTTCAGTCCGGATTTAGGCCATTTCACAACTGTGAAACAGCACTCCTTAAAATAACTGATGGCATTTTGAGAGAAAGAGATGTAGGTACGGTTACCATTTTAGGTACCATTTTACCATTTTTTAGGTTACCATTTTACCAAAAAATCTAGGTTTAACTTTAGACAATCACTTCAAATTTACAAAACATATTAACACCTGTGTAAGTAAAGCATTTCTCAGTCTAAGAACAATTTATCATAATCGCCGCTGTCTGTCATACAAAGTAAAAAGAATAGTGTGTGAAAGTTTAGTATTATCAAAATTTACCTATGGAGATGTTGTGTATGGGCCTTGTATTAGTTCAGATGACAGGAGAATGCAGGTGGTTCAAAATTCGTGTCTTCGTCTGATCTGTGGTGTAAGAAGACACCAGCCTATTTCTCACAAATTAAAACATGTAAAATGGTTGAGTATGGAAAAGAGAAGATTTCTACATACTGTTTGTCTTTTCCACAAAATTATCAAAAACTCTCTTCCAGCATATCTTATTAAATGGAAAAAATTATATACAGAACTGACATACATAATCTCAATACAAGATACAAACATACAATTACAGCTCCGCCACATCGCACAGAACAATTCAAAAATTCATTTACGTATCAAATATCAAAAGTATATAACAGATTAGCTAAAAAATTAAAATTAAAATCTAGTATATCTTTTAAGAAATCTCTTAAATCCAGAGTGCTAAGTGAGTAAAACATGTGCAACTATTTAATGACCTCTTATGAAATATGTATAAACTGTGTGATAGTTCTTGGATAATATTTAAATGCTAAATATTTCTATTAGTTATGGTTTTTATTTGATTGTTACAGAACATGTAAAAAAAATATTATATTTTTTTCTCTTGCTTAAGATGAAAAGCAGAGGTACTGATTTCTTGAAATCAGCACTACCTGATCTTCGGCATTTTTTCTTTCTTATTGTATTATATGCATGTATAATTTTATATATTTTGTGTATTGTATGAATTTGAAGGAAAAAGAAAGACCTTTATTATTATTAATATATTATAATAATAAAGCCACAGCGAAGCGTGGCTGGGTCAGCAAGTTTTTTCATAAAAAATGTCAAATTTATAAATTACAGTATGAATAACAACAGTTTAAATAAATCTTACTCCAAAACTTACATTCAATGTGTCGTTGAACAATTAAGATAATCTTGACATTTACTTTTATGATTTCAGAAGCTTACCATCTATTTTATTTCTAGGAACAACTAGCTCGAGAGAGGTGCGTGTCAGGAAGAATACAAATTCAAGTATGGTACCACGACGAAAGAAAGGAACTAGTCGTTGCGGTTCTGGCAGGAGACGACTTAGCAGCTAGAGATGATAGTTTAGGATTCGGTTCCCTTCCGGAAGCCTACGCTAGGTTGTGCTTACTACCTCTAACGTAAGTTAAAATCTATAAAAGCAGTTCTTAGTTTGTATTAGTATTTTCTAAAGTTACGAATTATTAGAGTCAACCGTATTTAACTGTAATAAAGGGAAATGTACAGACGTATCATAAACATTTTAAAGAAGAAACCTTTGGCAAAGATATAAATAATAGACATATTCAAAACAGACACCATTGTGGTGATCTTAATATAGTAATACCAAAAAAATTACTAATAATTTGTAAGAACATAAACAGGAAATCTGGAATGATTTTATAGCTTGTGGTTTATTTCAGAAAAAATATTTGAAATCCAAGTGAATTGAACTAAATAAGTTCACGTAAATTTCATCTCCTTTCGAAACTAATATGCCGACATACATAAGCCTAAAACAACGATAATACTATGACCAGTTCTGTTTCTATAAATAAAGCTAGATATGCAGTTCAGAAACAGAAGGCACAATGAGCAAAAAACGAATAAAGCTTCTCCCATCGTTGCACCCCTTCTGTTGACAGAGTAATACCCTTGTTTAAAATCTACAAAACTTTTATGTACATCTTTGTTGTATTCCCAACTCTTTTCTTAAATTTGTCGCAAGATAAATATTTTTTCTACTGTTGCCCTTCAGAGTCGGAAGCCACACTAGTAATCACCTATTATTTCTTCTGCGAACGAAATTATCTCCTTAGTAGAATAATCGACATAACTTTGTAGGTTGTATGAATTATTGATATTCCTCTATAGTTATTAAATTATTACATATAAATATGTTTATCTCCCTTTTTGTGGACGGGTTCGAAGTGGCTTTCACGCCATTCTATCGGCATACCCGCAACTTTGTTATTGGCTTAGTGCCAGTAGTGCTGCCTTTACTTACTCAAGCTCTGGTAACGCTATTTCAGGTTCTGCTGAGTATTATGCCCGTATTTTCTGTAAGAAGTTCTTCTCTATCATATTTTATGAATCCGGGACTATTTACCATATTGTTCGTTAGTGTTTCATTTTCCAAGTGTCTAGATATTGTTTTCTTCTCAACCAACTGTTGGTCTGTTGGTCTTGTTAGTAGCTCCATCCTTTTGTTGGTTTTAAACTTTAAACTTTGCTCATATTCCTGTCAAACTACTTTTTTTCTCGTTTTTCCCTTTTCCACTACGCATTCTGTTGCTGCTGTATCTATAGTTTTTCTTATATTTTACCAGTTCTGGTTTAATGCTAATATTTCTCGAAAGCGAATGCAACAGGGGTTTTTGTATGAGCTCGTGCCTGGTGGATGGGTTGAGCTTAATGAAAAAGGGTGAATATATAAGATATTGTTTTTTTTATTGTTAAAAAAATTTGTCGAGTATTCTAGAGCTTCAAAGAATTCACGGGTTCTGCTTGTGCCAGATGGTCATTCATCAGATACGAAAAATCTAGACGTAATTAATTATGCGAAGTAAAATGGGTGCAAATTCTATGTGTTCCACCTCGTTGCACGCATCGTCTACACTTATACACTTCGTCACAATGAAGTGAGGAAAAAAAGAGTAATAACATTTCAGCAAATTTCGTCCCTATTCATTGCCGCATATTTAAGAGCAGCTACAATGGCTACTGCGATAAATGGTAAAGCAACGGCCGTGCGGATATGGCCATGTTTTCTGAAACAGATTTTTAGCCATCAGCTACAACAGATATAGAAATTGACCCCAGTAGACCTAAAAATCAAGTAGATCCTATTGTACGGTCCAATAGAGGAAAAACTCCCAAGCCTCAACTAGGGTCGTCCATTATTCGTTCGTTCACGTCTAATTCGTTGTTTGAGGGATGGATTTTGTTGTGTTCGAGACATCTGTGGATGGTTCTCGATGCCCTTTCGAGATGCAATCGTTACATAGGCCATGCCGAAAGCATGTTCATAACAATATAATAAGAACAACTTTTACTTTTTTAACTTTAATTTATATTAATAAATAGTTACTACTTTAACAATGATATTTGTCTTCTTTGAAGACCTTAAAAGTTACAGATTTGTTTTTAATTCCAATTTAAACCGTAAATACCCATTTTGACCGCATTTCCCCTAATTGTCGAAAGATTGAAAGAACTGAAAGATAGAAGAAATTTTAAGAAAGAGAAAGAAGGCGAAAACAAGATACTCAGTTACTCAGAACTATTTTAGCAGTTTAGCTCTGTATTTAGACTTAGATTTAAAAATATTATAACATTAGTTGTAAGTTTATCTTAGGGATAAGAAACAACGGTCCTCAAAAAATATTATTAAGGTTTCATTTTAGAGCTGAAGAACATTGTGTACAAACTGAAGTAGCCCCGGCCAGTCAAAACCCCATTTGGAATGCCAACTTAAGTTTTCCGAACGTTCCAGGTGAAGAGCTAATGGAACGAGTTTTAGAAATCACTTTGTGGGATTTGATCCCACATAACGAACATGCCTTTCTTGGAGAATGTTCCGTAGATATTCAAAAGGCGTTTCTGGACGACAGGGCCGTTTGGTGCAGGCTTGAGGATCCCAGGCAGTTGAGGGGCAAATCTCCACACACCTCACCTAGAGGATCTATTGCCGGGGAGGAAAAAGAACAGATTTCGGGAACCAAAGGAGTGTATCAGATGATGTCGACTCTATAGGTATAGTTAAAATACATTAATAAGTGTAGATCATTATAGTTTATATTTCTAGTTAAATAACAGAAACTTTGTAGGAGAATATATTTTTTACCCTTAAAAAATTTTAGTTTTAAGATATTCTAGAAATATCTCAACATCTAAATATACCCAAAAATTATTGTAAATTGTTGTCTGTAAGGTTACAGACACCTTGGATACGTATTGTATTTTAGTTCTTACCTTCACTTTCTTTTAGGATGTATCGCCTGTGTATATTATTAAATCCCTTATCATATTTTTCTAATCTTCTTTAAGTATGCTCTCTGCAAATGAAGCAATAATCTGTATACTAAAATTCATCTCGTGTTTACCTACTGAGCGTTTGCTGAAAAAGCTGGAACAATAGAAAAATATATTCCATGTTTGCTAGATGTCTTTTTAACTATGCCCTTTATAGACTAAAACTAAACCAATCAAAACTTTGGGATTGTGATGGTAATATTTTTCTCTTCTTTTTCTTATTTTTACGTAGACATAATTGTGTCCGGTTTTCAATGTTCCTCCAATAAGTTGTCGTTCCATAATTTTCGCGATCTTCCTACTGATCGTCTTCCTATTTGGGGATAAAATTAAAAAATCAGCGCAAGCTCTGAAGACGTGGAAAAGAAAATGCAGAAACATGGGAATCCCTCTAAACGACGCAATATTGTACACACTGAGTTTTGCAGATGACCAGATAGTGATGGCCCAAGATTATGAAGACCTCGAATATAATGACCCGTAAACTTATCGAAGAATACGAACTATGGGGCTAGAAGTAAATATCAAAAAACTGAATACATGTGGATTGGGGGAATTGAACAAAATCTAATCTTGGAAGAAATACAGCGAGAAATAAATCACTGTAAAAAATACAAATATTTAGGCATGCAAATAACCAACGACGGCAAATTAGACGAAGAAATTAAACATAGAAATAACCAAGGAAGATAAGCCATTAGACAATTAAACAGTGTACTATGGGATAAAACAATCTCCAAAGAAAACAAACACAAATCTATAACACATTAAAAAGCATCATTACATATGGAAGTGAGTAGGCACTGAAAGGAAAAAACTTAAAAGCATTAGAAGCAACAGAAATGGACTTCTGGAGAAGAGCGGCTGGAAAATCAAGATTAGACAGAGTTAGAAACGAAAGAATACGAGAAATTATGGGTGTTAAACACAATTTAACAGAGGACATCAGAGTAAATCAACTAAGATGGTATGGACACGTCCAAAGAATGGATGAACACAGAATACCAAAGAAAGTATTGAACTGGACACCACATGGAAGAAGAAAGCAAGGTAGACCCAGATTAAGTTGGAGAGAAGGAATCGATAAAACTTAAGGAAGAAGAGAGTTGAAGAAAACCTCTGGAACGACCTAGATAAATGGAGACTGGAAATCAGAATATATATATATATATATATATATATATATATAATATATATATATATATAATATATATATATATATAATATATATATATATATATATATATATATATATTAAAAAATCGACCAAACGGTTTGGGATTTTTTGAAAGTAAGAGAAGAAAAATTTAATATGAATTTAGCAAAAATGAGTTTAGTTTTTGTTTATAATTTATACCCCTATTTCATATCACTCTTCGTAAGGCACCTTAGGACGAAAATTGTCCGTGTCCAACTCCTTATTTGTAATCCAATCCAATTTTTAGTTTACACTTGTAGTGTGACTTCTTTTTAAACGCTCTTATATTTAATATCGTAGTAGAGCGTATTCCTAATTTATCGTGGTTGAAAAGATCAAGGAAGCCATTAAAAAATACTTTGTTTTTAAAGAAAACTTTTATTTGGCCCTCATCATTAAAAATGCCAATTACTCTTGCTTAATTTCAGAATCTATATTGAACTTGATATCTACTTTTGATGAAAAGGCAGAAATCGACTTTAAAGTATCGAGTTTTGTATAATGCAGAAATTGACTTTAAAGTATCGAGTTTATTAGTTTTGCATTTCTCCCAAAAAATCATGATCCAGTCCCCTGGTGGAATGCTGCATGTGAAACAGCTACAAAAGATTCCAAAAAAGCCTTCTAGAAGCTTGAGAAATACCCAACCTTAAACAATAAATTGGAATTTAATAGACTACGGCTTACTGCAGATATATCCTAAAGTAGAGTAAAAAACAATTCTGGAAAAATAATATCTTCCATAAAACTCATTACTCCTACACCAGTAAATTATTGTACACAGTATTCACCGCAATTCTGTAAATTCAAATTTCCATTAATTCATACCTAGTGAAAAAGCTACACAAACATATCAACCAAAACATCGAATATATCTTCCATTACAATAAAATCCATAATACACCCAGTCGACGATACAACCCAATACCCACTACTATAATTTTACCTCATACAACCCCATTTCTGGTTTTCATATTTACTTATAACTCTTACACCATATCACAATCCATAGTACTATTAAATTACCATACAATCAACACTCTCCTCACACCCCTCCAACTCACTATCACACTCCCCTTCGCCCACCCCCCCAATTCATCCATCATAAATTAGCCCTTCCCTCCATACAATCACAAAACCCAACCTATTATAAACACAACAACATAATCAATTACAACCCTCAACAACAAACATCACCAAACCCCATCCTCCTATCCCACACCCACTAATCCCTACTTCCACTAAGTTCTTCCAACCCCCTCTCATACTGTCTATACACTACGTGTCTATCCCTTGCCACAACAGATTAGCAGTCTATACAATACCACACACACCAAAATAACTACCCATCGTCAATTCTGTACTGAACTCATAGTCTTCCAAACTCAATACACCTCCCCATCTACCACCGTAAGCATAACTCTTGCTCTCCTCCACTCAGTAAACACCCACATCCCAATCCTTGCCTCGAATACCTATTATACAACTATGATTGCTCCAAATACAATCACCTCACAGTCACAGTACTACACCCTTGTCCCACTAACTGTCACAATTACACTAACTGACACCCTCCACCACACCCCACCAAACAACTAAATAAGACCATAGACCACATAAACCTGCTCTCCCTACCCACACAACCATCCACACCATTAGATTATCCTACCATATCCCCATTCACAGCGAAATCCCACACACAACACACACCCTGTCCCTCACACTAATGATTAACCCTCCTTTAAAGAATCCTACTAACAACAATACTGCCCATAATCATCGATATTATTTCTCTGTCACCTATATATCGTCCTCCCCATCTCCTGCACCCAGTCAGTACTCTGTCAACTCACTCCCACCCTAACCCCCATACCCACTCCTTACTACATAAAACACATCTCGTCCAAACACTATTATAACATTTGTCTCTCCCAGTTAGTGCACGTCTCCATCCATGATATATAATGTAACACCCTCCTACACTTCTCATCTTCATCTCACATACAACAACACCCACTCTCAACACAAGTCCCACACATCACCTCCAATCCATCATGTGTTAAAATAGATCATAAATGTCTATATCATTCACAAAAACCCAAATACACTGTAAATCTCACCCCAATTACCCATCAATTCTCAATACCTGTAATATAACACTATCAACACACACACTCTCCCCCACACAATACTCACAAAACCAAGATCTATACAAATCACCTCAATACTAAAGTTAACATTACCTACACAAATTCATCCTACATACCTAAACATTAAAATCCAAACCACCTCCACATATTAAATAACATACCAACAAATCCTACTAAAAACCATGTCACACCTCACCTCTCCTCTCAAAATATAAAAGATCTCATCCTTAAAAAAACACTAGACAAAACACGCCAATCCAACAATCCCACACTCTCCAATATCACCTTAAATCAATACTCCAAATCCATCCTCTATACAGAACTCCCTTCAACAATACCATAGTCTAAGCCAAGAGTATCCACGTTCTCCACCCTGTGTCTCCATCTCTCAATGTCCTGTCAGTTCCCGTGCAACTTGTCCCACTCCATCCTACTCACTACACCTCGTAAATATGAGTGTCTCAACTATCCCCCCAAACCAATCTATTCCCCCATCCTCACCTCCTATATAAAACATGATGAGACATCAGTCCCAACACATGTAAGACCTCACCCCATCCTGATATGTGTCCCTCAATATAAAACATCACCCACCTACTCACAATCTCCTCCTCTACACAACCAAACTCACTACTCCACCAACGTCTTAACCTGTTCCAATAAGATGCTGTCGCTGTGTGCCACCCACCCCAGTTACCCGTAGATTGTGTTTATGTCCTATCATTAACTACCACATAAATCTTCACAACTACTCTAAAATTAAACAACACAATCACCTCTACTTACCCCCATCAATCCATCATTATAATCACTTACACTACAATCCTAACCATACTCAATTAACCTGACATTAGATCATGTCACAATACCCATCCACAGTCTCTTAACACTCTCCACAACAAGAATACACTAGACCCTGTCTAGATAACCACACTTCACTTCACAAAGCACTTCCCATCCTCACACCCCCACATATACCCCTCAATCCATCCTCACTAACCTCTATCAATAACCACCTCTCCTCAACCCGCACCCATCCCTAACAACCCCTATCAACAACTACGTAGAGAATAACTCTTAATCACAACAAAAAACTCACTCTCTACACACTTGCACAACCAACACACTACATCTATACTCCGAGTCATCCATGACACTCCCTACCAAGAATACCCATAAACTGTATCAAGAAACATTACCCCCTAATGTCTCCATAACACATCGTACCCACCTCCACCCTGTGTACACAGTACAATATCCACACCACACCATACTCCACTAAATCTACCATACTCAGTATATGCACTCCACATCCACATCACACATACATAACACAGACCTCACCACTCCATTCACTATAAAACACCCAAGAA